TCTGTGTGAGGATGTTGGTGTCAGTGAGTGTCTATCTGTGTGAGGATGTTGGTGTCAGTGAGTGTCTATCTGTGTAAGGATGTTGGTGTCAGTGAGTGTATCTGTGTGAGGTTGTCAGTGTAAATGAGTGTCTATTGAGGTCTGGATTTGAGACTCGTGGGCAGCACAGAGGGCGGCACTGGCGTCTTTGGGGTGGTGGTGTCCGGTTTATAAAGGCTGAAGCGGCTTCCTGTGGAGACTATGCAGGCGTGTTCTGAGGGAAGGTGGGGAGAGTTGAGAGGAGACGCAGGTTCGAATGAGTCCAGCGACTCACGTGCTCTGACACGAGCGCTGTTCTCTGCTCACCAGGGTCCCGACTCTACATTAGGTCGTTAATCCACAGGCAAGCTGGCGATGTGGGGTCATGCCTTGTGCGTGCAAGCCTGTGAGTGGGGGACTCGTCAGGGGAGCGTGGCCGTGTTCCCGGCCCCTCACGCTCCTCTGTGTTCTCAAACCCTCCCCATCCAGCCTGCTACTGTCTCTGGATTAGCTCTACAGCCTCCTGATTCATAGTCTTCCCGTTTCTGCCCACAGACCCATTCGATCTACTCTCACACTGCGCCATTTCTCTATTCCAATACCCCAGGGCCTGTCCATGGCCCCAAATAATATCTTTACCCAGGCCCTCTCAGTGGCTCCAGTTCCAGCCTTTTCCACTCGTGTCTGGCCTTCTGGCTCTTCTTGGAACAGTTAGCCCTTAGCGTTTCCCATGCAAGTACCGGCCGTCCCCCAACCTCTGCACCCTTGCTGCCATCTTCTGATCTTCTCTGAAAACGCAACATGTCTCCTGTGACCACGTTTCTCTTCTGTGTCCTCATAGGCTTTCTCTTCATAGCGTTATGCTATGCCTACCTATCCATATTAGTTGTTGTTCTGACGTCTGTACATTTGTGAAACAGTGGTCTTTTGAGTGTCCTGGTCACACTGCTGCATGCTGAAACTTACCAAATGAAGGAATCAAGGAACCAAACTTATCAATAACCACCAAGCGCCACAGGCCCCTGGTTGATCTTATTGGCAATGACCGGGATCTTTTCAGCCTGTGACATAAAGTATCTCCAATGATCCCGTGACCTGAAAGGCGTTTGGAATGGTGGCTCAAGCATCTTGATATTCTGGCAGTTGGTATCCATATAAAGATGCACCTCTACCCGACTCACCCCAGGACCAGGAGAAAGCCTGTTTTTAGAAAAGAAAATGGTGTTCAACTTACCTTCCTTTTGGAGGAGCTTTCTTACTACATGTGTCTCCCATTCAATGTGTTTTTTGAGGGTGTTCCTTGGACAAGCCCTGAAGGAATACTGATGCTAGTTGTCTTCTCCAGGGTATCGGAGGTCGGGGGCCATGTGGAGAGGATTTTTGAAGCCATAACATGACATCCTCCCTCATATGACTAAGTGATTAGAAAAATTGACATGTTTGTGAACTCTGGGGGAATCATTTCAATGTATTCTTTCCGTAAGTGATTTTTGCGCACTGTCTGCACACCAGGCTCTGTTGTAAGAAGAGGAACACACACTGAACCTACCAGAGTCGATATCCTCATGGGGACCTCAGTCTTGGGGAAGAAGCAAACATCAGACAAATAAATCGACACCTCTGTGGTAGCACAGGACAACCAAGGAAGCAAGACGCACAGCGAAGTGGAGAGGAGTTTGTTCGTGGCTTCATGCTGCTGGATTGGGGAGGTGGCAGCACTCAGGGCCTTGTGAAGATAAACATTTTAGTAGGGAGTGTAGGGATCGCCGCCCCAAAGGGATGGCAGCGTGCGTAGCTGGGTTATAGAAAGGCGTGTGGCGTCTACTCGGCTCATGGTCAACTCAAACCTCGCTCTGGGATGAGGAAGCCTAGCTGTGCTCTTCCTTTGCCAGCTCTGTATCCTGCGGAGATCTGCATGATCGGAACATGGAGACTCCAAGCTGTGCTTGAGGGGGAGAGGCCAAGTCCTGGAGTGAGAGAAGCCGAACCCCGACTCTGAAGAGGTGACAGGGCTTCCACGACTCGCTTGCCCCTGAGCACAGGGTGCAAATCAGAACTAGCATTATGTTTTATCTTGCCTCTACATCAGCATATTTTCCACAAACACATTTGTGGCAAGTGAATTGCTGTGACTCCTGTATTAATGAATGGCGTTATCCAGGCCGGTCTTGAATTGGGCTTTTGTGTGTCTTCTGGTGGAGGAGAGGGCAGAGGAGAGGGAGGCTGGAGGCGGAGGGGGCCTCTGGTGCTGCTCTGAGGTTCAGAGTCAGGTTGGCGTGGCCAAGCGGAACAGGTCGGGTGGGGCCGGCGGCGGCGGCCGGGAGGCGCAGGAGGGTTGGCAAGGCCGGATTGGCCTCACGCCTCTGAAGTGCTTTGTGGTCCTGGCTGAAAGATCTTGAATAATTTCCATGTATTTCTTTGATTGTGGCAAGCAGGGCAGAAAGCAATCCACTGTTCCATCAACAATGATCTCTTTCATTGAAACGTGCATACAGTGGGTGCATTTCTAAACAATACATGGAGTATTTAAATTGTTAATTTATCATAAAGAACCTTTCTGGGTCATCAAGTGACCCGTACAAAAGGCAAGTAACAGAAGCGCATCAAGTACTAAGTCTTCACTAGGCACCACGTCAAATCGCTTAGCCTCTCATGTAACCTGTCCAGCACCAGAATTCCATCTCAGCGGGAGGGAGCCTAGGCCGCCCTGTGTTAGCAAAGGGCTCTGTGGCTGGGCTGTGTGACCCCCACGGGCTCTTTTTTCCCCCTTTTCTTTTGAAGCAGGGTCTCAGGAAGTCTCCTGGGCTAGCTGCACACATGCTCTTGTTGCTTGGGCTTCCTGAGTAGCATTCTTCTCAATTTGAACGATAGTTCCCCATATTTGTGCCATAGTTGGTAGTATGTCCAGGATGTGTGTCTCTGAACTTTTTCACGACTGCAATGACTAGCCTGCTCTAGTAAGAAATTTCCAAGGTTTGCATCAGTGGTGGTATTCGAACTGTAGCTACAAGTGTGGATCGTTTGTTATTGTGGAAATGTGACTCCTCTAAAACCAATGTCTACATCCCAATAAGCTTTCTTTGATCAAGTCAGGCCTCAGTGTAAAACACATGAATAAACAAAGAGAAAACAATTGGATCTGCATATTTTGTCTGTGTATGTCACATATGAAGGACAGACAAGCGATAGGAAAGTCTCCCACTACCCCAGGACAGCAAGTTGATGTCGCCCTGTTGGCTAGACTCAGCTCTTCGTGGATCTCTGGAGCTAGGGGGTGAGATCTCCCGGTAGTCGATTGTGGAGCAGATGGTTGTGCTGAAAAGCTCCTGGAGAGCATGCCCGGGCTCCTGTGAGGACGGTTTATGTGTGACTGCATGTCAAGGCGTGTGATTGTGGTGTGCCTGTGTGTGATTGCTGTGTGATTGCATGTGAATGTATGCAATTGCTGTGTGACTGCATGTGATCGTGTGTGAATGGAGGAGGAGGACTGCCCTACAGAGACAGGCTCTCTCTGTAGCATCTGTCAGACTATTTGACCAATTGAATTCTATGCTGAGTATTTAAGATTGTTTTGTTTGTATATCTGCATTAGAAAGAAGCCCCTCCCCCTACATTACTTCTATAATTTCCTAATGAACTTTAATTTTCTTCCATATGATGAGAACTTTGATTAAGTATTCGTCTATGCTGTGAGTTACAAGTCATTCGCTAGTTCTCTCTGTTCAGTGACCCGCCCCGCCCCGTCCCCGCGGGCGGCCGAGCTGTGTGCTGCTGAAATGTGGTTCATTCCATCTGCCTAACTAACGTGACGTGTGATCAATGAAAGGCCAGCAAACTTCTCCTATGAATCGTCTATTCATCGGCTCCCTAAAGAGCATCCAGCAAGTGTTTGTACGTTGTGGTGACGCCAAGGTTTCATGCAAGGGAAGGTTAGGGAGGGAGAATGCCTCTGCTTTCCTGCAAAGATTTTCTTGCAGCTGTGTCTTTAAACCGGTCTTAGCACGAGGTTACCTACTCCATCCGGAGAGACCCCTTGGTGAGGTCGGCCCCTCCCTCAGTGTTGCTGCCCGGCTTGGTGTTGAGCCTCACAGGTGTGCGACGTGGGGGAGAGCTCGCCAAGACGTGGTGCCAGCACAGAGAATGGAAGGCTTCGTGTGCACGCGGCCCCTCCGCTACCCCGTGTTGAATGTGCGCATGGCCGGAGCTGACAGTTCGCTCCAAACCCAGCAGCCAGCACAGTGCATCACGGGCACTCCGTGCACGATCATTGCCAGTCAGTTGTTCCGGGGCGTTCTCTGTCACTGGATTAGGATTGTCTAGAAAGACTAGAGGGCAGCATAGAACCAAGAAGAATCTAAAATCGTATCAAACGAGCACGGAGATGTGACTTGTCTCTCCTCTCTGGGGGAGAACCTGGTAGGTAGGCACTCTACCACTTGGACCTCACCCCCAGCCTCTTGCTTTAGTTATTCAGGTACGGTCTCACTTTTGCTCAGGCCAGGCTTTGGGCTGTGAGTCTCCTTGAGCTGGGATTACAGGTGTGAGCCCCTGCTTGGCCTTGCTCGCTCTCCTCGTGGCACACGGAGCCGTGCTGGGCGGATCATGGGAATGTTGTCATTACCATGTTCCTTCTTGGGGTGAACATTCTGGTGTGAAGGAGACGTGCTCCTGGCCCATGCCTACGATGAGCCTGTGGGGAAGCCGTCACCGTCGGTGGTAAGGAGATCATGTGTTTAGGGCTGCCTGGCTTTTTGTTTTTGTTCCACTTGGGGATGTTTAGGACTAGATGTGATGAGAGAGGAGAGTGAGCGTTCCTCTTTGGCCCGTCTTTCCATTCTCTGCTTCCTGGTTATTGCAGTCAGTTCACGTTATAACCACTCCACCATTAGGCATGCTTTCGTGATGGTCCACCAAACCTGCCTTGTCCCGCTCATCCCTCCCAAGTTCACTAACCCGCACAGGAGGTGTGGACACGTCTCCATTCCCTTTTGCTCATGAATCGCTCAAGTGTGTGGAAATAGTGGATGATGCTGTCTTGAAGCCCCTTCGGGCCATCTGGCTATGTTCATTGACTTAGCACACGATGCTGATGAAGCCAGGCAGGGCTCTGGGCACACCAAAGGCTGCGGAACAATTTTCCTTGGTCATAAATTGCATCCTGCGCCCAGAAGTGGGCACCTCCAAAGTGCCCACTGATGCCCACGGAGAGGGACACTGGGTAAACAGCCAGCATCAAATCATCACACTTGACAAGAGACAAAGACAACAGAAGAGCGCGCAGGGGATGAGGTCAATCTGACTTGATCATGACCCATGCACGTGTGAGTCACCATGGGGAAATAAAGCTAACAGCGAGACTTGAACGCAGGGCCCTGAGGGAGCTCAAGCCATGCCCTCGGTCCTTTGGTTTCTTTTGTTTGTGTGGGTTCTCACTAGTTACTCCTGATTCCTCATGATCTTCCTGCCTCTGCTTCCTTAGCACCTGGGAATCACAGAGGCCTGCGACCCCCCTGCCTAGCCCGTCTGACTTTGCACAGAATCTCTACGCTACTTCCCGTAGTGACTAGGCTCATTTGCATTTTCACTAGCAGCACGTGAGGACACGTTTCCTCACCATCTTCACTACATCTTCTTTTCTTTTGATGGAAGCCATGCTGACTGTGCTGAGATAAAATTTCAGTGTAGTTTTGGTTTACATTGTAAAACAGTTAAAGATTGTGCTTTTTCCTTTGCAATATACCAGTGGAATGTACTTGTTCATTTTTGGATTGGATTATTTGTTTTGGGGTGTGTGTGTGTATGGTGTGTGTTCAAATTCTTATTCTGCATTTCTTTCTGGACATGAGATACATAGCTGACAAAAGAGTTTTGTTTTTGTTTTTAATTGATCCTGGGGCTTAAACTCAGGGTCTGGGTGCTGTCCCTGAGCTCTTTTGCTCAAGACTAGTGCTTTTCTACCACTGCGAGCCACAGCGCCCCTCCCGGATTTTGACTGGTCATTTGGAGATGAGAGTCTCACATGGGGACTTCTCTGCTTCATCTAGCTTCCAATTACGATCCTCAGATCTCCGCCTCCTGAATAGCTGGGGTTACAGGTGTCAGTCCCCAGTGTCCCAACAGGGATTTTCTAATGAGTGATAACAATAGTACAATTACAAATTTACTCAAAATTGTTCAACACATTTGCTCTTTAGATCCTGCGTAGATTACCTAATCCATTGTTCTATTTTGGGAATTTTTATTCATTTGGGGATGAGTTACTTTGAATTTTAATCATAGACAGACGGAATCCCACTTGGTTATAAGAAATAAACTCCTGCTTCTTGCCAATAGCATCGATGGATACATGAATTCTTTCTCTATGTTGCCTCCTCACTGTTTGAACTTTCTGGAGCGTGAATTTAGCAGAGTGCAGTTGTTTAACCTGTCAAGTCCACCGGTGATGTGTTATTGTTCTCATGTGTTGCGTTTCAGGAATCGCCTCCATTGTCTGGACTTCCTCAGTGTGTCAAAGTTGTGGAAGTTGGTCCTCGGGATGGGCTGCAGAATGAGAAGGTAGGTTCAGGCTCATCTCGGCTTCACAGAGTACATCCCAAGTTCCAAGCCCAAACCCTGACACTTGTTTAGGTTTCAAAGGCTCATGGATTTGTATATGTTTCTTTGCCCACGGCTTCTGGAATTTATAAACTGTATTTGCTTTTCAGCCAGGAAGTCATTTTCTACTCGTGCTTCAACAGACCTTACGTCAATTAACTTACAAAAATACCCTCTTATGTTTTCACAGATTATAGTTCCTACAGATATAAAAATCGAATTCATCAATCAGCTTTCCCAGAGTGGCTTGCCTGCGATAGAAGTGACCAGCTTTGTGTCCTCAAGATGGGTGCCACAGGTGCGTACGTAGCCTCTCGCATGCAACGTCCTGAACGTAGTGTATTCAGTATTGTGGGGAGTGCCCCCTTGACACCACACTGTTGCCAGCTCACAGACTAGCAGGACTGAAGGAAGCCTTGTGCGTGGGGTCCTGTGTGGACTCAGTCTCGGTCCTGTGCATGGGTGGGGCTGACCTGCAGCCAGGGCCACGGGCCTTTGTAGCCACCATGTTGGGGCTGCCTCCTGCCAGCCACTGGGTGCACGTCCGAGCCTCACCAGAGGGCAGTGTGGTAAGTGGCCGGGCGCTTCCCCCCGGAGCCTCGGCCCTGGGTGAGAAGTGCAGGCCTTGAGTCTCTGCTTCTTTTAGCAATCGACTTTGTCATGGTGATGGGGAGGGAGGCAGCGTCGGAGGTGAGGCACTGGGTCAGGAGCTGTCCATGAGAACGGCACGGTGCTGGGCTTTATTGAGTGTGTACAGGCCATGGAAGAAGAACGGGTTCTGAGACTCGCTGAGCACAGGATGGAGCCCCCAGTGGAGACTGGAAGCCAGCACAGGCTTCGTGTGCTGCCAGTGCGCCTGCCCTTGCTCCACGCTGCCTGTCTCTCAGGGCCGTGTGGTCTAATGGATTTCTTGGTCTCCTTCTCTTGGTGTCCCTTCTCTCCTCGGCCGGTCAATCACGGCCCCAGCTTCTCCACATCCTTTCGTAACCACTGGGCTGGGGTTCTTGCCTGACGATTGTCCTCTCCTCCTCCTGGTCTCTGTTTGTTTGTCCTTGCGGTATCGGTGGCCCCTTCTGTGGAGATGACACGTTCCTAGCTCTGGTCCCATTTTCTCTGCTGAGCTGATTGTGTGCCAACCACCTAAGTCCATTGGGTTAAAAATCAAACCCATGCTGCCTGATGCTGACCCCAGCGCCTCCCACTGGGATGCTGGACGTGCTTCTCCACGAGAGCTCTGGCCTTCTGTTCACGCTCACGCTCAGGGGCAGCGGCCGCCCCGGGACTGTGCTCTCGGGCGGCTTAGCGTTGGAGGTCTGCCTGTCCTGTCTCGGAGCTGGAGGTCAGGAGGTCTGCGGCAAGCGGGCTGGCATGGCTGGGGTCTGGTGAGGGCCTGCGGGAGCCACGGCAGGGCTGGGGTCTGCTGAGGTCTGCGGGAGCCACGGCAGGGCTGGGGTCTGCTGAGGGCTCCTGCCCACACGTGCTCATTGGACAGCAGAGGGTGAGCAGCTTCCCCTGCCTCCTCTGAAGAGCCGTGTTCTGCGCTATCCCAAGGGCTTCCCGCCCAGGGCTCAGCTCCTGAGGCGCCCAGGAGCTCCACGCAACAATTTTGGGTTCAGGCACGGTGACTAGTGACTCCTCGGTCCCCTCGGTCCCCGGTGCGCCTCTGCCTGTCTTTGCTTTCCTATCCCGTGGATTTGGTAGCACCACCCGCACCGAGTGGAGGCCACACAGCCTCTCGCGGACAGCCGAGGCTGGCGACATCCTCCCTGCTTCTGCGCAGTCTCCTCTGACAGAGCTGCCCTCTTTAATAGTTCCCCTCCTTCCTATCCAAAACACAAAACCTCCAGACTTTGTGTGGTCTACAAGACTCCTGCACCCTCCCCGCCGCACCCTCC